TGGAGCTGTCAGTTGGTGCAGTTCCAAGCAGAGCGTCGTGGCGGGATCTACGTGTGAAGCGGAGTACATAGCTGTTTCGGAAGCAGCAAATGAAGGAGTCTGCATGAAGGAGTTCATATCCGATCTAGGTGTTATATATACCTAGTGCATCGGGTCCAATGAAAATATTTTGTGACAATACTGGTGCGATTTCCTTGGCAAAGGAATCTAGATTTCACAAGAGAACCAAACACATCAAGAGACGCTTCAATTCCATCCGACATCAAGTCGCGGAGGGAGACATAGAGATTTGCAAAATACATACGGATCTGAATGTTGCAGACCATTGACTAAGCCTCTTCCACGAGCAAACCATGATCAGCACCAAGATTCCATGGGTGTTAGAATCATTACCGTATAATCTAGATTATTGACTCTAGTGCAAGTGGGAGACTGAAGGAAATATGCCCTAGAGGCAATAATAAAGTTATTATTTCCTTATATCATGATAAATGTTTATTATTCATGCTAGAATTGTATTAGCCGGAAACTTAGCACATGTGTGAATACATAGACAAAACATAGTGTCCCTAATATGCCTCTACTTGACTAGCTCGTTAATCAAAGATGGTTATGTTTCCTAACCATAGACATGTGTTGTCATTTGATAAACGGGATCACATCATTAGGAGAATGATGTGATGGACAAGACCCATCCGTTAGCTTAGCATTATGATTGTTACAGTTTCATTGCTACTGCTTTCTTCATGACTTATACATGTTCCTCATACTATGAGATTATGTAACTCCTGGATAGCGGAGGAACACCTTGTGTGCTATCAAATGTCACAACGTAACTGGGTGATTATAAAGATGCTCTAAAGGTGTCTCTGAAGGTGTTTGTTGGGTTGGCATAGATCAAGATTAGGATTTGTCACTCCGTGTATCAAAGAGGTATCTCTGGGCCCTCTCGGTAATGCTCATCACTATAAGCATTGCAAGCAATGTGATTAGTGAGTTATTTGCGGGATGAAGCATTACGAAATGAGTAAAGAGACTTGCCGGTAATGAGATTAAACTAGGTATGATGATACCGACGATCGAATCTTGGGCAAGTAACATACCGATGACAAAGGGAACAACGTATGTTGTTATGCGGTTTGACCAATAAAGATCTTTGTAGAATATGTAGGAGCCAATATGAGCATCCAAGTTCCACTATTGGTTATTGATCGGAGATGTGTCTCCATCATGTCTACATAGTTCTCGAACCCGTAGGGTCCGCACGCTTAACGTTCGATGACAATTTGTATTATGAGTTATGTGTTTTTGATGACCGAAGTTTGGTCAGAGTCCCGGATGAGATCACAGACATGACAAGGAGTCTCGAAATGGTCAAGGCATAAAGATTTATATATTGGAAGGTTATGTTCGGACACCGGAAAGGTTTCAGAAAGGTTCAGACATTTTATGGAGTACCGGGAGGTTACCGGAACCCCCCGGGGGATTAATGGGAGGTTACCGGAACTTAGTGGAAGAGAGGAGGCAACGGCCAGGTGGAGCCCCCCTAGCCCAAACCGAATTGGACTAGGGGAGCCCCCCCTTTCCTCTTTCTCCTCCACCTCTTTCCCTCTCTCTCCCTCTTGGAAAAGGAAGGGGACTCCAACTAGGATTGGGAATCCTAGTTGGATTCCCCCTATAGGCGCGCCCCTCCTAGGCAGCCGACCTCCTCCCTCCCTCCTTTATATACGGGGGCAGGGGGCACCCAATGCACAACAGTTGTTCTCTTAGCCGTGTGAGGTGCCCCCTCCACAGTTTAACACCTCGGTCATATCGTCGTAGTGCTTAAGCGAAGCCCTGCGCCGGCAACATCATCAACACCGTCGCCATGCCGTCGTGCTGATGGAACTCTCCCTCATCCTCATCTGGATCAAGAGCTCGAGGGACGTCATCGTGTTGAACATGTGCTGAACACGGAGGTGCCGTACGTTCGATACTTGGATCAGTTGGGTCGTGAAGACGTTTGACTACATCTACCGCGTTACTAAACGCCTCCGCTTTCGGTCTACGAGGGTACATGGACACACTCTCCTGTCTCGTTGCTATGCATCTCCTAGATAGATCTTGCGTGATCGTAGGAATTTTTTTGGATTACTGCATTCCCCAACACATATGGCATCTGCCGTGAGATCACCATGACACAACCCGTGTGGGGAGTCCCAATCGGCAGCATAAAACAGGCTATGCAACAAGCTTTCATGGGCCATCATAGGAAGAAATGACAAACTTCCTTGAAAACCAACAAAGTAATGATTCCAAGACCTGCTTTCAATATTAGGCACAAGATAGCAAATGTAGATGACATATAATGCATTTTGATATATGAGGGGTTCAAACGGTGAGTTTTGAAAGAAAATAACATCACGGGCACTAACATCTACTAATTAGAATAGTACGGTGCATAATACCACTAATAAGATATGGTGGAACTAACATCTACTATTCAAAAGGAACTAAACATCTACTAATCAGAATAGTATGATATGGGAAAGTAACATCTACTAATCAGAATAGTATGATACAAAAATGAGAAATATTATGATATGGGGGAACTAAGATCAGTTCCCGCATCAGTGGCAGCTACAGGGAGAGGAGTGGCACCGCGTTGAACACGTCACAGATCCTACAAGAGGAGGGGCTACACGCACATGTCGTCCCGGATCCAGCGGCCTTATGGCCTCTATGGGCGGCCCTGCTGCTCGATCCACTAGCAAAACAACATGCGTGAGCTTGACTCTCCCTGAGAGCCCTACGGGTCCTCACCGCTTCTCCACGCCATCGGTGGAACCACCGCTACTTAGCGTCGTTGGGGAAGTGGATCAGAAAATTGTGAGCCAGAGTTGGGAGGGATGGCGGGGGCTGGTGTGAGAAGGATGAAATGGAAGGCGCTTGAGAGTCCGGGAACGTTTATGTGGGGCCTCACATCGCTATAATTCAACGAGTGTATGGATAAAGAGATCAGTCGACTTGCAAACATCGTATAAAGGCTGACATGATGGTCCTACCCGTCGCCCAAAGCCTTAATGCACCAGGGAGCTCCATTCCTCGGGAGCTTAGCATTTTAGGCGAAATGTACTACTTGCTAGAATTCATAATCCTTTGTTATTTTGAGTTCTTTGGAATGCTAAAAAGTAAAATAATGACAAATAAAAAGTTACTAAGTAAAGTAAATAACAAGGAATTAAAATAATTAAATGCAGAACCTATGACTTATTGAAGAAACTCCCCGGCAATGACGCTAGAAAAACTCTGTTTCGTGATATCTCCGACCAGTATTTACTCGCTGGGCCCTAAAGCGCAAGGGTTTGTAGCAAGGAGCAAGTTTTCCTTCAATGGAGAACGAAGATATCAATTCGTGGAGTTCTTCTAACAGGCAAAGACCAACACATCCATACAACTAAGGCACTTCACTTGGTCTCCAACACTTCTAGTGAGGTTCTCAATCTCACTAGCTTTGTTGGCTACATGTATTAGGGCCCTCCTCATTCTTCTTAATGTGGCCTCTCTCCTTTATAGGAGAGGTATTTCCATTATGGTTTTTGTGGCTATGGGTGGAGAAGGTCGAGGCCAACCCCCTCGGTTGGATCTTGAACTCGGAGGAGCTATTTAAACCTTAATTAGTAGGTTTCTAAAATAAAAGTTTAGGTTTAACTAATAGGCTTCTAAAATAAAGTTTAGGTTAACCTAAACTTTATTTTAGAAGCCTACTAATTAAGATTTAAATAGTATGCTTATAAAATAAAACTTTAGGCTGGACTTTTAGAATAAGCTGGATATGGAGCAGCTTATTTCCACAACCCCAAATAAGGCAGAGAAGAACTGACCCTTGTAGGATGATAAAACAGAAGCAGAAGTCAAAGACAACCCAAGTACGGGAGGTTCACAAGAAATATGAAACCAAGTATATTCATGACCATCCCTCATGGACCAAAGCAATCCCCTTTTATGGACCAAGTACATTAGACATGGCTTTCTTTCTCCTTTTTGAGGGTCTTGACCTTACTTTTCTCTCCCACAAGAGTATTGGTGGTCATTTGTACATGACCAAGAGCCTATAAAAGGCACACCATGGATCACTTCTAAGTCATCTCTCGTTTGAGCAAAATGATACCACTAAAAGGCGTGGACTAGGCTTTTTTGAGGTGATTATTAGAAAAACAGACTAGGGTGAAGGTTTTCTTTGAGCATTGGACTTCCAGTTGAAAATGGACAGGGAAGAAGATTTTCTTCGAGTCTCAAACTTCCATCTGAACAATTTCATCTCTGATGCCCGACTCGAATGGGAAGGATCACCAAGGATGTCGTATCGACGGATCAGCCGCCGACACGATTCAGGGTTTGACAATATGTATCCAAGGCCATACCCACACAAACACATTGTTGTCTAGCTTTCGAGAGTATACATCGACCCGTTGCAAACTTCCCTCACACGGGATTGTGACGCTTGCTAGAATCGTAACACACCAACCGGATCAACAACGAGTATCCACTCCACGTTTTATGATCTTTTTTTACCACAACAACACATAACAAACATAAACTTCCTTCAATAATTTAAAATGTACAAATGCTTAAGTACCAATAAGCTTCCTTCTACAAACAAGAACAGACCAGGTAGTTCGACAAGAAACCCCCGCTACAAAAGGTACAAGAATCAACACCCTCGCCGGGGTGGTGCAAACAAACGACACTCTGTTTCAGGTCTCCAGCACACGCATGTGCTGAATCGCCGAAACCAAAATAAATGTCCCAACCCACCTTCAGTGAACCCACTGAAACTGACCCGACGCCCTACGGAATTGTTCGAAACCATCAATCGACCTTACCTTTCAAACTTGTTCCATGATTCAGTGAACCACGACGCCGTGGAAACCATGACACATTCAGGCATCTGCGGTTTGGACCTCAAGCAACTGAATGACAGGTACAGGTTGGTCAGCCACGGACTGATCAGAAGCACTTCATGTGGACGATCGACGGGCCGGTTTCATCGTACTCCGCCTTGGAGATCCACATCTGTAACACAAATGAAGGCACGCCATTAATCTCGGAGAGTGAAACGAGCAATAACAGAGCATTAGTGAGCAAGTATGTAAGAAAAAAATGGCTACCTGCTGGAAGGTACTGAGAGAGGCAAGAATGGAGCCGCCGATCCACACACTGTACTTCCTCTCCGGCGGGGCGACCACCTTCACCCTCATGCTGCTGGGCGCGAGTGCGGTGATCTCCTTGTTCATACGGTCGGCGATCCCAGGGAACATGGTGGAACCCCCACTGAGCACGACATTGCCGTACAGATCCTTCCTGATATCGACATCGCACTTCATGATGGAGTTGTACGTGGCCTCGTGGATGCCGGCGGCCTCCATGCCGATCATGGACGGCTGGAAGAGCACCTCGGGGCACCTGAACCGCTCCGCGCCGATGGTGATCACCTGGCCGTCCGGCAGCTCGTAGTTCTTCTCGACGGAGGAGCTGGTCCTGGCGGTCTCCAGCTCCTGCTCGTAGTCGAGGGCGACGTAGGCGAGCTTCTCCTTGATGTCCCTGACGATTTCCCGCTCGGCGGTGGTGGTGAAGGAGTAGCCCCTCTCCGTCATGATCTTCATGAGGCCGTCGGTGAGGTCGCGCCCGGCGAGGTCCAGCCGGATGATGGCGTGGGGGAGCGTGAAGCCCTCGTAGATGGGGACGGTGTGGCTGACGCCGTCGCCCGAGTCCATGACGATGCCGGTTGTCCGGCCGCTGGCGTAGAGGGAGAGCACGGCCTGGATGGCCACGTACATGGCGGGGCAGTTGAAGGTCTCGAACATGATCTGGGTCATCTTCTCCCGGTTGGCCTTGGGGTTCATGGGCGCCTCGGTGAGCAGCACCGGGTGCTCCTCGGGCGCCACCCGGAGCTCGTTGTAGAAGGTGTGGTGCCAGATCTTCTCCATGTCGTCCCAGTTGCCCACCACGCCGTGCTCGATGGGGTACTTGAGCGTCAGGATGCCTCGCTTGGACTGCGCCTCGTCGCCCACGTACGCGTCCTTCTGGCCCATGCCCACCATCACCCCCGTGTGCCGCGGCCTGCCCACGATGCTGGGGAACACGGCCCTCGGCGCATCGTCGCCGGCGAACCCCGCCTGTGGTTTGCAACGGAAGGATGGATGGATGATCAGTTCGTGCGCTGAAATGTACTCTGCACTACAACATGCTAGTAACTGAATTTGGGATTGACACCATGACAGGGTAACTGACCTTGACCATTCCGGTGCCATTGTCACACACAATGGGCTGGACATCCTCTTCAGCCATTTCTCAAGCGGTTTTCTGCGACAGAAGAATTTTAGTTTTCAGTCTGCTTCTTCAAATTTCGATAATAAAAGATCAGGGCATGGTCTTGAGCATCACAACAATATTCGCTCACATATGTACAGATGGATATACAAGACAAACGCGTGATAACAAACGGATATTTTGCCGGTCATCACGCAAGATTTCTGCAGGTATTGTATGGAATGATTAGCGCGGGATTTGATTCTTGATTAGCTACTACGTATATATCACGGTAAAAGTACCATACATATCTCACGAGATTGATCCAATCTTTCGCAAATCACGTGTTATTAGGAAGATTCTACCAGTTCACGATTCACTAGTCACCCCGAACCCGAAGCGGTCAACAGAGAAGATACCGCAGCCCGTGGTCAGCGGTCACGAGATAAGATCCTACGGAATCAACGGCACCATACCAAAATCCGATGATCGAACACCATCGACGGTAGCACGAACTCGCTAAGGATCGCACCGCACCGTACCAACCACCCGAACCACCCTGCCAGCGCAGAATCCACCGGAAAAACCACGAGCCGACACCTCGCTTGGCGATCTACCGAAACAACCTAGCAGAACCCGTTGCTCTACGGATCAAATCGATTCAGAAAGGAGGAGGAAGAGGAAAGCATACCTCGGGCGGGCGCGTTGACGGATTGGGGGGTGGTTCGTGGGAGCTCGGAGTGACGCGAGCGGCGTGAGAGCGAGGCGGGGGCAAATGGGAGAGGAGACGAAGCAACACGAAAGGTAGAGGGGAGCAGTTTTATATGCTCTGCGGGCCGCCCGCCTGCTCCGCTTGGACTGGCTCTCGGTAGCTCGGGTGTCCGCTGCGTTCTTGGCCGCGCTTGACGCCACCATCCATGTCACGGCACGGCACGGCACGGCACGGCACCAGCATTGAAGGGGAACGACGACCGGGACAACATCGTGCTCCTGGCCGACCTGGTCCGGGTCAGTGGGGAAACGCAGTGTGCGTCCGATGGTGTCTCACTGCGCGGGCGGCTGCAGCGCGGAACTTTCGGTGTGTGATCCGGTACGTCCACGTCGGATGTCGTGACTGGTGGGGACGCCGGCGGCTGACGTGGCCTTTGTACTTGCGTGCAGTGGAGCCTAACCTTTTTTTTTTCTGTTATATTATAAGGGCATTTCCAACGCCCGTAAATTTCCTCTTGTGTCCGTCCGCGGAGTGTCCGTCCGCGGACACAGATGCCAGAGGACGCCATCCATACATCGAGCCTTCCTCAATTTTTTTTGAGCCGCACGTATCAAATAGCCGCATACAAAGGGTATAAACGTTCAAATAGCTGCATGCAGCAGTAGTTCAAATTTTAAAAAGTTTAAATATTACATCCCAACATTATTTCCCCTTTAGCCGCCCACTGATACTCAATCAGATCTTTCTTCAGTTGCTCACGAGTTGGTCGATGCCGAAATTGTTGATGCATTTGAATAAACTCTTCAAATATGGTTGGACTCTGGTCTGGAAGTTGGATAGGATCACCCATGTTCTCAAGTTCTAGAGCTGCGGCAACATCGTCACCCTCATCCTCGACGATTATGTTGTCCATGATCAGACAACATGTCATCACGGCTCACAAGGTCTCCGAATCACATTGTCTAGTAGGGCCACGAACAACTGCAAAACAGGCCAGCAGAACTCCAAATGCCCTCTCGACATCCTTTCTACCTGCTTCTTATCTTTGGGCAAAGTGAGCCTTTCTCTGGCCAATTGGGTTAGAGACGGTGCTGTCAAAGGTAGCCCATGGAGGATAGGTACCGTCAACCAGATAGTAGCCCATATTGTACTCATGTCTATTGACAGTATAGTGGCAAGGAGGAGCTTTTTCTTCAGTCGGCCTCGCAAACAACGGTGATCACTGCAGCACATTGATGTCCTTATGAGACCCTGGCATGCTGATAACGCACAAGTATAGGGGATCGTTTGTAGCCTTTTTCGATAAATAAGAGTGTCAAACCCAACGAGCAGCTAAAGGGAGAACAAATATTCCCTCAAGTTGTATCGACCACCGATACAACTCTACGCACACTAAACGTTTGTTTTACCTAGAACAAGAATAAAACTAGGAGTACTTTGCGAGAATAAAACTACGAATAAATTGCAAGATAATAAAAGTAGATAGCTTTTGTCACACAAGAAAGTCATTTGTCCCTAGGTGATCCATAACTAGACCGGTGAACATTATTGTAATTTTAAATGAGGGAGAGACATGAGCTAACATACTTTCCGTACTTGGATCATATGCACTTATGATTGGAACTCTAGCAAGCATCCGCAACTACCAAAGAACATTGTCGGTGTTCTGGGAACGGGGGTCCCCAGACTTGCCTGCCTGCGGCCTGCAGCGTGGCTCAATCGGTGGCCCAGTACGGCCCGTCTTCATCAACCAAACACTCAAGACCCTCGCGAGGGGCCAAGCCTCGCGAGGAGGACGACACAAGGCCTCCTCAGGAGTGGCCTCGCTAGGCAGGCTCGCGAGGAGGCGGAGAGATCAAGGTAAGGGTACCTCGCGAGGTGCCCAAGACGCAAGCCATGACGATCAAGACCAGGCGTGCGCCAACCCGCGCAGTGTCCTCGTTTCCTCTTTGGTGCAAAGGGGGCAAGCGCAGGCGTGGAGTATCGAAGCATCAGGCAAAGGTTTCCTTATCGGTGCAACGAGACCAAGACCAGCAGAGAGGCAGGACGGAGGTCACCGTGGAGCCCAAGACGGCGTCATCACCAGCACCTTTGGCAGGCGAAGACCACATTTTGTCAGGATAGCTTGTACTAGCTGTCCCCTTTCGAAATGGCCGTTGTTGGATCCCTTACCGCTCAATATTTGGGAAGAGGATCAGGGCCTCTATAAATAGGGCTAGCCACCACAGTAGACGGCATCTCATCCAAAGGCAACGAAGACGGATCGATTCCTCCTCAAGCACACCACCAAACACAAGAACACCTCGACCTCGCGAGGCTGTTCTTCCCTTGTACTGTTCATCATCAGCCCAAGAGGCAATCCACCACACCACACACTGGATTAGGGTATTACACCACAACGGTGGCCCGAACCAGTATAAACCTTTGTCTCTTGTGTTGTTCGTCGATCTAGCTTAGTAACCGCGGCGAGGCTGAGGGCGTGTTTCGGTAGGGAGAAGATCTTTGTGCGCACCCTAGTGTTCGAACCTTAAGGGTTTTGCCGAAACCCGATATCCGACATTTGGCGCGCCAGGCAGGGGTGCGCCGGAGCTCTTCCTTCCGTCGACCCGCTCTCCACCAACACCGCGCTTCGTCCTCATGGAGGACAATGCGCCTCCGGCTCCAGCGGCCGACGCCAGCGCTGGGGCCAGGGGGCTCCGAGCCTTGGCCCCCGCCTTGCGACAGGTGCAGTGGCCGCACAAGTTCAAGCCAGAGATGCCGCCGCGCTACGACGACGCGACAGACCTGCTGGCTTTCCTGCTGGCGTACGAGAGGCCGTCCTCAAGACCGGAGGCGACAACAAGGTCATGGCCAACAAGTTTCCCATGGCCCTCACCGGCGTCCCGCACGTTTGGCTGCTCAACCTGCCGACATCTTATGTGGTCTCCTGGGAGGACCTATACGACCTCTTCCTCACCCACTACACGGCGCCGGCACCCCCGGTCGTCGCAGCTCTCCTGGGCGGCTCGCAGGCGCAACCCTTAGACCACCACGCCAAGCCGTTCTTTCGCCAGATCGGCGCCGCCCTCGCACACCAAAGGGCTCCTCCGGGTTGGGCAGCACCCAAGGACGACCTGACCTTCAACTCAGACGATCACCCCGTCAACACCGCCTGCTCGGGCGCGCTCTCGATGCTCTGCACGCCCACCATCTGCCGGGTGGCCATCACTAAAACCCACATCGACGGCGGCACCGGTCTCAATGTGCTCTCGGTGGAGGCCTTCAGCCTCCTCCATGTACCGCTAGAATGGCTCTGACCTAGCAAGCCCTTCTCGGGCGTCAGAGGCGGTTCCTCCAGCTCCCTGGGGCAGATCCGCCTTCCTATGACCTTTGGCACCCACGACAACTTTTGCACCGAGCTCACCGACTTCGACATCGCCCACATCGGCCTCCTGTACAACGCCATCCTCGGATATCCTGCCTTGGCTCAGTTCATGGCAGCGACCCATCCGGCCTACAACCTCATGAAGATGCCCGGGAGCAGCGGTGTCCTCACCGTAGCTGGAGACACCAAGGAGGCTCTACTGGCGCTTGAGCTAGACCTCAAGGCTACCGCGGCGGCGCAGCCTGCCGGAGCGGACGCCACCAAGGCCAAGGAAGCTGTACCAACCAAAAAGAAGCAGTTGTTCACTCAGGCCAAGGCGGAGACCAAGCAGGTGCCAGTTGAGGAGGACGGGTCCTCAGGAGCCACCTTCACCATAGGCGCCAACCTCGACCCCAACCAAGACGAGGCGCTGGTGAAGTTCATGCGCTCGAACAAGGAGGTGTTCACGTGGGAACCCAAGCAGCTAGCGGGGGTCCCAAGGGAGGTGATTGAGGATCACCTGAACGTATGCCCCAATGTACGCCCCGTGAAGCAGAAAGCAAGGCGGCAGTCCACCGAGAAGTAGGCCTTCATCATCCAAGAAACCCGCAAGCTGGAGGCAGTAGGTGTTATTCGCGAGGTTCGCTACCCCGAATGGCTGGCAAACCCGGTTGTCGTGCCAAAAAAGGGAGGAAAAGAGCGCATGTGTATCGACTTCACCAACCTCAACAAGGCCTGCCCTCAAGACCCATTCCCGCTCCCCCGCATCGACCAAATTGTCGACTCCACCACCGAGTGCGACCTGCTGTGTTTCCTGGATGTGTTCTCGGATTATCACCAAATCAAGATGGCAGTGGAAGTCGTAGAGAAGACAACCTTCCTGACCCTGTGTGGGGTGTACTGCTACACCTGCATGCCGTTTGGGTTGTGCAATGCGGGCGCAACCTTCTAGCGGCTGATGCATATCGCCTTAGGTCGGCAGCT